AGAGAGAGAGAGAGAGAGAGAGAGAGAGAGAGAGAGAGAGAGAGAGAGCACTGTGTAGGTGCATGAGTGAGAGTGATGACCTAACACAAGCACACCAGCAGAAAGATAAGCACCTGTCCACCTTGAACTGTTTTTTGACAGCGTCATGCACATGGCCAAGATCACATCCATATTTTAACACACACATCCACACTCAAACACACGTTTACACGTTATAAGCCGCCAATTTCAACCACTGCATTATGCTGCCAGGGGGAGAGTACTGGCCTGTTGGATCCATTTAGGGCCTGGCCAGCTGATTTCCAGAGCAGACCCCAGGCCAGTTTACCACCTCAACAGGGTTTGCCAAGCTGGATCAGTTGGAGGTCTTCTCTGGCCTGTAGACCAAGCTGATGCTTCATATCCGACTTCCAACAGCAGCGTGGCCAAATGAGCGAGGTTTCACACAGATCAAGTACAGAGTGACTGTGTATTGTGTCATTTGCAGACCGTGGAAATGCAGGTGGTACCAGGTTGAAACCTCCTGAAACCAAACATTACAGATGATGCCTGTAAATAGTTTTGGCTTCCTGTCATGAAGTTTTGTTTTAACATATCCATATTAGGTTATACAGACATTTCAGTGCAGTACAGTAGGAAGGCGGATGGAGTATTAGTAAAGTCATTCATTTGCAGTCTCCTCTTACATGCAGGATTGTAGGCTGTGGTGCCGGCCCTACAGGGGTGGCAGTATAATCCACTGGTGAGGCAGATCACCCTGTGAATGGATGGTTTGATCTCAGCAGTGGCCACGTGTTCTGCAAGTGTCTCACAGCAAGACACTTAAATTTAACCAGCTCACGGACTGTTAGTTTCTCCAGATAGGAGTGTTAGTGATTTGGCATTCTAGGCTTACGGAGACTAAGACGGGGATCTTCAGCTATGTAGGCAAACTGCACTGAGGTTCTTGTCATCTACTGGAACTGTTTCAGGGTTACTTATTTATATACAACGAGAAGGGTAAACATAAAGATACATATATATGTATTGTAGTGCACTGTATTACAACAATCAGTAGGTAAAACTAGGCAGTAAAGCCATGAGAGCTTCTACAATAGTAGAAGCTCTCAAATCACGTCCAGTTTGCAACATAATCCATACAAACCCCAGATATATGTTTGAGGAACAAATTTAGTGACATGGATAATGACAAAACTCGGCTATTCCTCCTTGACCCTGTAATGCAAACCAGGCCAGTGAGTGGTTTCCAATTAGTAGAAAAGACAGTGAAAGCAGTGTGTAGTTTATTGGTTGACTGAATTTATTACTGTTTAGTTACAACTCCATGTGAGCAGCTTCTCCCCCTGCCTTAGCAAGCATATGTGCATGTACGTGTGGAGAGGACAAAGGATCGGTGTGGGCTGTTAGTTGGTGTGATTTCAGTCATTTCCTTTTCACCCTCTCACTCTCTACCTTCCACCTTATTTCTAATCAATAGTTCATTTCCCAGCTAGACACAAGTACTTTGCATCACAACAAAGGATTACCCCTCCCCCCCACCCCGAAACAATACTTATTTTTTTCTCATTCAGCCTCTCTCTCACACTCCATCCCTCCTTATCCTCACTTCTTCAGCCGACCTTGGAAACAGCAGATAAACCTGGGTATGGAGGATGCAGTGGAAACAAGTAGAGGAAGGAGTATTGTGATTTGCTCGCATTGTTTTCACACATAAGGTGGTATTGTTTCAAGGAGCAATAAGCCACACTAGTTGCTGCACGTCATCATTTTGCATTTTGCATGAAGAGAATAATGTGTATCCCACTCTTGCAATGCTGAATTGTCCATCTCTCTCTTTCTTTCTGTGTGTGTGTGTGTGTGTGTGTGTGCGCACATCATATTGACTTAGGACTGCATGAGAAAGAAAGAAAAAATACTGTACCCGGCAGGAACATCACATTGACATGTCAGAAGTAATCCTTCTTTAATCTCTTTGTTGTTGCTAAAGATGGAATGATGGGAAAAGGAGAGAAAGAGAGAGAGAGTGAGACAGGCGAAGGGAGATGTATATCAAAGACAGAAAAGATGGAAGACAGAAAGTGAAGAAGAGAAACCAGGGGGAAGAAATGGAGAGAAGGTGGACTTCGTCATCTACTCTTTTTAGCTGTCTGTACTGAAAACCTGTGCCTTCCTCTCGCTGAGCAGCCTTTATTTTTGCAATATTAAGAGCAGTGACCAGCAGATGTTTTAATCTCGCACTGTGCAGGCATCAGATGTGATTGAGCTGCTGGGTAGCTGGCACCCCCGCCTTGTCCATCTCTCTCTCTCTCTCTCTCTCTCTCTCTCTCTCTCTCTCTCTCTCTTTCTCCCTTTCTCTCTGTCTGTCTCTCTCATGATCAGCATGCAGAAGGAAGAGGGGAGTCCGCTTGTCTCTCGGCCCTTTCTGCATCGCGTGCTGCATGGCAATGGTCCCTCTGCTTTATGAGGGCCGCTCGTATGGATTCTGCACGTGTGTGTTAAAGAGAGTGTGTGGAAGTACGTGCGGTTGTGTGTGTTCGTGATTAGTTACGCTCAGACAGTTTGCAGTGATTTATGCAGCCAGATTAAGGCCTCACTTCGAGGTTGGTCTGCTTTTTAGCCATGCAGTGTGTCATAGTGCATCCACTGGCTAACCATGCTGCCTGGATGAGGGGAAGAAGCTAACGAATGAGCCTGGCTCAAATCATGGGTTGTACACTGGCACACTTCTCTCGCGCACTATTCCAACACTAATCACTGAGAAGCAGTATATTTGATTTGTCCTGGCTGTACAGATTAATGACATCGTACTTGTTTACACATTTAAAAATGTAAAGGTCATGAACTATTGAAAAGAATATTAGACGACTACATGTGACACAATGCCTTTAACCTGTACCTACACATATTATAGAAACCCATGTGCTTATGGTCTTTATCTCTTTTTGTTGCTCCTGGCTAGGTGAGTAGAAATACTTGGATGAAGAGGAAGTAGGAGTTCCCCTGATATCTACAGTGTTATACCTGAAGTTATAGGAGACCCAGTGGGCTTCGTTTACCTTGCGATGCATCATCAAATCTGAAAGAGGACACGGTGTGAATAGGCACATTAGAGGACGCTTCATATGTGAATCAGTCATTGCTGGGTTTTTACCATTTTGTAAGTATTTTGAACAAAAGAACGTCGAGCCAAGGTTTTAGTTTGAGTCATTGATGAATTGGATTCTTTACTGTCAACTTGTTTATAAAAGCATCTGTGCAACACAAGTGCAGTACTTCTTGCTGTGGTAATGTAGGAATACCAAGAGCGAAGCAGATTTTAGAAGAAACCACAGAACAACTCGATTCCCGAGGGATTTGGTCCAACAGACTGTTACCTTTGTGGTCATTAGTGAAATGAGATGCTTTATTCAAGATTATTCAAGCCTTAATGCTCTGCAGAAAAATAGACCGCGGTGCATATATACTGTGTTTGTGTAGGTCAGAGGTCTTCAACAGGGGGTCCGCGACCCCTAGGGGGTCTGCAGAGGTACTGCTACAACATATTGTAGCGAATGGATAAATGGAGGCAGAAGATGTTATCTTTCAGTCAGAAATGCACACATTCAGCGACACACAGGAGCTCTCTCAAGCTGGGCACCGGTTCCCTCACAGCGCGAGACTAGCCTGGATCTGTCCCTCCAAGCCTCCTGCACACAAAGAGGAGGACCCGCCCCTATCGCTGCTGTGCCAATCACGAGGCCGCATGTTACATGCTGGCTCTGTCAGGTTCTCCGTGATTGACCGAGAGCCTATTCAGTCCCCAGCTGACTAAGATCCCAGACACAAGGATGCACGCTGCAATATTATTTGAAAAGAAGATACCGTTGTGGAAAAAAAAAAGAAAAAACAACGACATTTACTTCACCCACGAATCCTTGTGCAATCAATGGACATTGTTATGAGCAAAAAACATGAATCTGTCCATTATTTTAAGAGTTCAGTTTTGTACGCAAGATAACAGGTATCTTTATGCATGGCAGTGGCACTAATAGGCCATCACTCATTTTTCGTTTCCACATTTATGTTTAAAATAAAAACGTCAATTTGAATAGCTTGTGTGCATGATTATCATACAATTGACAGACAATGTTGATATTGGCATTGGTATCAGCTGACATGCTATGTTTATAAATGGCAGTGGCACAGCCACCCTACTCACTGTACCTTGCACATGTTTAAAATA